AGGCGTTTAAAGTTTACTACATACAACAATACGACAGTTACGACACCGTTGTGAATACCCCAAACCATATTTTGCAAATTTCAAAGTCCTTTAAAAAATCCTGACGTCGAAGAGAAAAACTGAAAACTCACTTTTCCTATATTTGGCCTATGGTTTCCCGAATACATATGTATATTGATTTATTTGCGTGTAAAATTGACTGTCGCATGGTGGTATTTTTACGAATCGCTGGTTTTCCCTTAAATATGGCAATTTCTTCACTGGTTCGTCGAAATGGAAAGGAAACTGTGAAACTAAACCAAGGATATTTTTATATTTTAGGCATAGATTTGCAGATTTGAGCTAAAATTTTTTCTACTCCAATTCAATGTATGTAAATATTTAAGTTCATATTTGTTTGTGTTATAACACTCTAATTATTTCATTTATTTAACTATTTTTGAAGAAAAATAGGCTCTGATCCAATACTTTTCGTGTATAATCCTGTAAAAATGTCAAACAGCAAAATTACTCTCTGAAGTGAGAGTAAAAAGTGAGTAACAACAAAAAGTACGGGAACAAAGAATGCATTTTTCCAGTAAAAACGTCAACCAGTGATCGCTTGACACTTCATGATTTTACCAGAAGAAAAAGTTCGGGTAAAATCTTGCAACTTCATTCGCAACTCTCCAAAAATCGCTCTCATTTACAGGATTTTGGAGGAATTTGGAGCACGGGATCATTTTTCCTGTAACTACCTGCAAGTTCGTGTAAAAACCTGTAAGTTCAGGGAGTACTGGATCAGAGCTACTGTTTTAACTATTTTGTTTGGCTATGGAACAAATTTGTTTGACTATTTTTAGCTATTTCGAAAAAAATTAAGCTATAAGCCTACAAGTTTTCTGGCAACACTACGCCGATGTTTCGATAAAATTACCGATATTTTCGATGCTTCGATGGAACCGTCAACAGAATCATCGAATTTCGATGAAAGGTTAATTCAGTCGTAGAAATTTATTTGTTTGATTCCATGAAATCGCGAAAGGTAAATCTATATATACATACATACATGCAAATTTATATATATATACATATGTATATATAGATTTACGTTCTTTGACTCATAAATTTAAAATCGTTTGTAAAAACCGGATACTTTCTAATTTTCTCAACATTTCACTACATGTGGCATCCTTATACGACAGTGTTGCATTTTGCAGTACCGTATTAGCGAAACCGGTTTTTGGCCATTTTTGCAATACAAGCCGATCAATGGCATTCAGGTAGTCACATTTTGACATTTGCTGAGGAAAGTTTGGAAAATTTTTTCGGTGTGGAAATTTCTTGAATATTCGCAAGTAAAGTATTAATAAAATAATAATTAGAAGGTGCAAACCAAACTCCAGCGGTATCCAAATACATAAATTTACGGATAAAGGTAATAAAACAGCAGCTGAAAAAAATCGATTGAACGAAGAGACGTCTATAAATTATATAACAAAGCTAAAATACATATAAAAATGCTAGAGGCGCTGCAACACGCTAGGATACAAAGAAATTAAGGCAAAATTCATTAAAATTATATACACTTTTGAGCGTTGTGAAAAAATTTTCTGTCTGAGCCAACGGATCGATGAAATTTCATCATCAACGCAGAGGCGAGCCGAATACAAAATACAGTCTTGAGCAAAGTAAAAGAGTTCGTGAAGAATTTTTCAGATTTATCCGAAATAAAAACGTTTCAACAAATTTATACATCACAGGAA